GTCCCCCCCGGGACCCACCTAGATCCCGTCTCGGGCTCGACCCGGCAATCTCTCCTCCTTTCCCCACCCTCTCCCGTACTCGGTCGTGAGGGGCTTTTCCAGGAGGGGAAATGCAGGGGGTCGAGTGTGCGTCTGCCTGTCGAGTTCAACGGGGACGACGTTGTCAGGCTGCTGACACGTGTGGTGCCACGTGTTCCAACCTGACGTGGCATCGATTCGTGGCTGGCGTCGCATACCACGCCTGTCCGTGTGCGATCGGATTTGGAAGAGGAGCGATGAGGCCAGACTGTGTTGGCGGTGCGAGAGTGGTTGGGGAGGGGGCGGGCGATAGCATGTTATCGTTGTTGAGGATGAGATGAAGCGGGATTTGAGGGAGGATTCTGTTGAGCTTGAGATCGAAGAAACCAGAGAAGGGCAAGGAAAAGAGGAAGAAGAGAGGACTCTGAGAACAGCTGAGCCACCCTAGAAAATTTTCCCGATGATCCCTTTATTTTTCTATTTCATTTTTCCACTCTTTTTCCACCGAGAGGACGATTTTGAAACAAATCAGAGCGGAGACAAAATTTCAGACAGTTACTTCTGATAAATAGATAATTATTCTTCTACGATTATCGACCTTGAATCACAATTCTAATACCATTTTGATTAGCGGTTACCTTCAAACATGAAAGGAATTATTTTGCTTAAAGATGGATGGATAGAGGCATAATGAATCAATTATTGATGTTCCAAAACTTTGAATCTTATACCGATCCTTTATTTTCTGAAGCACGGGGCATGATAAATCTTCGCTCAAGACAACGTAATTATTTCATGAAACAAGGTGACAACCCACAGAGATGATGTGCGTAACAAAAAGGCTACGGCGTGACAGATAATGAGCATCTTGAATAGCAAAATGGCACCATAGAACATAAAATTGCTGTTTTCCGTAAGCTAGAGGTATGTGCTGCTGGGCATCACAATCAAGTGATCAACCACTTCCAACAATGCAAAGCTACTTGCGGCCACGATATATAGAATAACAATCATACAAGAGTCTTGCACTTCCATCTACAATTTCATCTCTGTGAATGAGTTTTAGAAGATGGTTTCAGTGCATCCATTATTTGCATATTCTTTATTTCGATATAAGACAAGTCATCGAGTAATATTTCTTGCTTAATAAGATGCCATTTAGGGGATAGCTCCCTCAACTTTCCGATAAAGTTCATGAACTTGTTCTCCAAGCTTCAACGACAACCACTTCCCCTGATGCCTTTGGTTATTGACAATTTGTAGTAGCTCATAAACTTTGCAGTAAATTCTGCGAAAAGGAAAACAGTGAAATATTGAGAGAATATTAAGACCAACTAATCAAATAGGTTTCTGGCAAGCTGCAGCTTGTCCTTTTGTTTAGTTGCTCAATTTTTATGCAGTTTTTGTCCCTAAATCCAGATTATTACCAATGTGATAATAGATGCTAATTTTACGGCAGTTTACGACCAAGTTTAATTTTTCAGTATTGTCATAGTCAGAAAACTTGCGGATCATTCCAGCCGGAGCTAGGTTTATCAAATTTTTACCTTCAATCTTCATGAAGTAGTGAACATTTTTTCGCTGGTCATGAGACTTGTCGCCAGAAACCTCTTGACTATAAAGTCCCACATTCTCCAGGCTCGAGTTAGACCCAGTGACATGCTGTGAGGGTTAACAGAGGAACAACGTAAAATTGCAAGTCTACATTAAAAAATATCAGATAATGATTAAAGAAATACTAAAGGTCTACATTGAGAAAAGGCATAAGCATGGATTAAATCCCTGTACCATTGTTCAATTGCGGATAGACTCCCTGCCCAATTGCATATAGACCCCCTGAGTGACTTATTTTTTGACACTTTTACCTTCTGGAGGTCTAATTGTCAAAAAAGAAATTTCTCTTCAAAAGAGTAAAAAAAAATCACTCGGGGAGTCTATCTGCAACAATAGAACTACAAGGGGTCTATCCGCAATTGGGTGATAGGAAAAAGGTTCTATCTGCAGATAACCCTTTCAAAAAGAATACAATAGTGATAAAGAAATAACATAAGCATCCTTGATGATAAACTGACTTCCATATGCTTACAAGCTTGTACTCCTGATACATAGCATCGATCTTGCCATGGAACTGGTTGATCACTTGCTTCTTCAGTTCACAAACCAGAGTCTGTTCAAGATAAGCACAAGATAGAATTGCTAGAACATCTCCAATAAAGACCAATTTATAAAAGAGTTCAGGGAGGGACAACCTACACTGAAAATAAAATCTGGTGATACGTCATGTTCAATCAGCTTTTTAAGCTTCCCACGGATAATATATAACCTTCAATAACAAAAAGATAATAACAGTTTTTTTAGATTTTTATTCCATTAATTTAGCAGAAGATATGATAGCCTGCACAATGATTCTCAGTGTCAAGCAACAGTGACATGATAATTTTATTCCTTGAAAAAGAAACACCATCAGAGTAATGCAATAGCGAGGAAATACTCACTGCTTTGGGCTTTGATCCTTAACAATACTCGTAGCTATTTTAGCAATATCATCTTCCCATCCAGTCAAGATCTCCACTTCATCCTTGAATGAATTACTGCAACAAATACAAATGCCATCCAGTTCTTAGTCAATGTATTGTATTCCTCCTAAAACCAGTTTATAGTAGGAATGTACTGTAAACCTGCATTAGCTTGCAATAGGGAAAAATATAAAGATGCAGTGTTCACACATGAGGGGTTAGAAAAAGACATTAAGGGAGAATTTTGTAATAGAGAAAATAACAAAAAATTTCAGAAGATAAAGATACCACATTGCAATTACAATTGAATCAAAACATATGCAGAGTTCTATAATGCTAGTGAAACACATCAAGGTTATGCTTGTTTCATTCTTCTGCTTATATCATGTCACAAAGAGAAAAGCAATGGCTTATAGCAATTTATAAACCTAAACCCTTATCTACACGCTACATAATCCTGGAAACTAGGTAGGTTTGCATACCTCTCTTGGCACCTTTCCACTTGCTTAGAAATGTAGCGGCAATTTAGAGGGCTAACTTTAAGCACTAATGAAACTGTTTCGGTCTAAACAAGATATAGTATATTTATCTATCTATAACACAACAGACAAAAAATAAAGTTGGAAACTGAAACATGAACGCATATACATATGGCCTTCTATTTACTTACTACTTCCAGGAGGCTTCAAATGAACGAACTGCCTGTCGAAGGTTGTTCTTCGAGTTCTGCGCAATTTTTTGTGCTTGATGTTGAGACAATTCAATATGTTCTTGTTTTGCAATGAGCTCCAGAACTTCAACGATCTGAACAAATTAAACGTTATTTATTAAAAGCTATTCAACTGATTACACACATGAACTCAAATACGAGTAATGTGTATTCAATGGATAACCTCACTATCCGAAGGTGGTCGGAGTTCTACGATTTTGCAAAGATGTTTTATTGTTTGAAGCTTTGAGGCATCAGAGCAGCAAAAGAAGATCTTATTACAGCCCTTGTACTTCTCCATGATCCAGCGAATATAAAACTGAGCATCTGTTGAAAGCTTGTCAGCCTCGTGCACAACAATTGCTGCAAAGAAATCAACAAAATAAATGCAACTCACATGATAGAATGACAGTAGAATACCACAGTTCAATAAGAGATAAGTGTCATCCATTTAATTTCATAATACTCATAAAAATCAGTTCACCTTACACTGAATATAAGACCATGATGCGCATGCAAAATCGTGGCCTCAACCAAAAAAAGTACTGTAGTATACACTGGAACAGAAGAATAAACAGAAATGTCACATACCTCGAAAATTAGGAGGATCACATTGGATGGGTTTGTCCAATGGAGAATGGGATTCATTTATCAGAGACACAAGAACATGCTTTTCATATCCAGGCAATTCAGATAAATTAATCTCAACATGTTTGGATGATATTCTCAGATTGACGTCAATGGTGGTGATATGCTCACCCTGAAGAATACATAAGCAGTTAACAGTCAAGAGGAGGTCACTTCGCTTTTTAATTTTTGCTCCTAAAAATTCGTAAGTGAACTGTAAATATGGAATAGAAAGGTGAAATACCTTTAGTTCAATTTTCCTCAATTCATTTTTTGTCTGTAAAAAGAGAAAAACATACGGTGATAAATGAATAAGTGTAGTAATGAGACATTACACTATTGTTATAAGTTATTTATCTACCTTCAAATTTTCAGGTCCCAAGGCATCTCGCAAGTATGCTAAAGCCATAGTTCTCTTCCCAACCCCTGGAGGACCCTCAAATATAAGATGACCGCATTTTTGCTTTCTCACCTGCAACTTCAACAATGTATAAATGAAACTTATAGTGATAAGCATAATATTTATGCAAATCAAAGGAAAATGAAATACACTAAGCAATAAAGCAATGAAATTCTGGGACCAAACTTTGTTATTATATGGTATTTTCCTCAAGCGTATTGAGCATATTTATGAACTTTCTAGAATAATGAGAGTGAATCTTCTAAATTTCCCGAATGTATTGGAGTTTCAATAAGTTGAGCAAAGAGTCCCAGGCACCCTACCTTGAAGGTGCCACCCAAACCATATTTGCTACATTCAAGACTTAAATAAATAAAAAATAAAAAAAGAGGAGTTATCATTTTGTTTATATGGGCATGTGCTTTATTTTGTGAGACTTGCAACATCACAGCTTCTAAAGTCTTAACACATTGCACATGTATATGTACATGTATGAAATAACAAATTGAATATGCATCAGATGTGCATTGCACTGGACATGAAGATCGACATTAAAACGATGATATATGACAACCAAATTGCAGATTCATATTTAGTCTTAGGTCATAACTTATCTTAAGTTATGAGGCAAGTGAAAAAATAAGACAAGTATAGAACAGGAAAGAGGTGAACTCCAGAGATGAGACAAAAAAAAAAAGATTATAGTCTCATAAATTCCCTAAGGAACAAGCACCATTATTTGCTAGTATCTGCTCTTCCAGCTTTTTCCCCTAACTCGTTTTTCTACTTCTTGTCGGATTTCATCCCTCGCACTCTCATACAAGAGACTTTGCACCTTAAATGGGTTATGGAACTCTAGATTACCATCGCAGAGACCCAGTGGTGATTTTAATGTAAAGAACCAGTCTACTTGTTATTTATTTTGCATCTTCTGCACCAACAGTCTCATCCCATCTGTATTAGCTCTCCACCTGTCTTGCCTTTTGAAATGGTGATATCTTTAAGTTTTGTTTGAATTTAGTGACATTTAGGTTTCTCTGAGTGGTTGATGATTTTGAACTCTGCCTTGATATGTGACATGGTTTCTAACATTGCTTTGTTTATTTGGAATACATTTGAGATTAGCTTCTGCATTATACTCATGTTGCTTTCTAAGATTTTACTTTGAACTCTAAGCTGGAGAAGCTACAGCTATCTAACACTGAAAAATGGCTGCACGTCAACAAATTACATGACATTGAAAAAATTAGTTCCTGCTTTATGCCCCCTCTTCTCCGTGGACTCCAAATATTCAACACAAAAAGTCAGCTTTTATCATGGACTGAACTAGAACTTCCTAGAATCATGGCACCGCACTAAACTATAGAGTATTTCCAAGATTTCATACCTAAAAAACACTGTATGTAATAATTTTCAGATCATGGTGAACTATTACATTATTATTACATTACCATAAAACTTGTGCATACCCTCTATGGAATTACTCACATTTGCATGTAGGCAATGATAACATTTTTTATGCACAAGCAAGGACTTTCCAGATGAGCACATGCAAATGTAGTACTCTCATCTTAATACACCTAAGTATAGGGGTTTTCACCGTACCTTAGAAATGTCAGGTATAATAGTCTTTTGAATTCAAAAGAACTAATATATACTTGAGAATTTACTTGTGCATATCATGATAGGATTAGACAGAACCTTTGGCTTTTAAACTTTTCTATGCAACGGCACCAAATTTGAGAGATTTGAACACATATAGCTCATAATTGTGCTAATAGTTTGTACTAACAACCCGAATACCGTATGGACATTTCAATTTGTGACAACATAATAACATTAACCTTCACTACTGGAGGTCACAAATACGCTTCGTTGAAATTTAACTAAATGGAGAATGGTTGTATCTTCATGAGTAGTGGACTTCCAAGACCAAGTTATGGTAAAATTTTGATAAAGGCACATATCAAGATATGTGCACAAATTGGACCCGTTAATAGGTCCTTAATCACAAAGGAGGATCTTATTCACCAGGCCCAAAAAATACTACCACCCCAGTTAACACTCCATCACAATCCAACAATTCATAACAATTTGCATAATGAAGGTTCTAAACTCACAACATCAGAAATAAATTTCATCGGAAACATACCATCTCCTTTAGCTCCTCAACCCGATCCTTGTTACAAATAAACTCGTCCAGGGACCTCGGCCTGTACTTATACGCCCAAACATACTCCCTCTCCTTCCGCCCGTGCACCGCAGCGGCCACTGGAACGTGGGGCACGACATCAGCAACCGGAGCAGCCTGGGGCTGCGGCGCTGGCGCCAAATCACTCTCCCTCAAGGGCTTCCTGCTGGCACGTGGCGTCGGCAGTCCCGGGTCCCACTCCCCCGCCGGCTGCAGATCTCCCTCCTCGTGATCCACCTTCCTCCAATTGCTCTTAGAGAGGCAGGACGGGGCCCACTCCTGGATCATGATAAGGACGGAGGAGGAGGAGGAGGCCGAGGTTCGAGTGGAGGAGGCGAAGCTCTCGCGGCCGGGGCTGAGGCCGAGGCT